CGCCCCTCAGTTGTGCGTTCCCCTTGGTCCCCACACATGCCTCCATCACATGCTTCCTTGGCTTCTCATTGCAGCCTGGAGCTCTTGACTCCTGTCCCTGTGCTGTGTCCCCTTTGCAAGGCCCTCAAGGTAGGACAGACCCACTGCTCTGAGCGGCCTCATGGGCTCTGGAGTAAATCCACCAGTGTTCAGATCCTGGTTCTGCCAGCTGCTTACTGTGTGACCTGGGGGTAAGTCTTAGACTCTTTGAGAGTAAGGGTAGGTTCAACAGTAGGTAACACAACAGAGTGGGTTACTGTGCTTTGACAAGCACGGGTAGCTTGGAAAGGGCACGATAGTTCCTGGTATCAAGCCAAGTGCCTGTCTTCTAGCTATAATGTCCTCAGTATATGACTTTAACCTCACGGCCCAAGCTGGCTGCTAGGTTATAGCCCTCAAGTCATACTCATTCCAACATGAAAGGAGGATAGAAAAGGATGCACTTCCTCCTCTTAAAAAACCTCCATCCCAAACAAGAACAACAAAATACCTCCCAAAGTTGCACACAGCGTTTCTGCTTATATCCAACTGGTCATTAGTCACACGGTCATACCTAGCTAAAACTGGGAGACTGGGCAGTACCTTTATTTCCAGTGGCCACATGTCCACCTAAGCAGATGGGGGCGTAGGCAGTCGTCGTGTGTTTTTTGGTTCACCAACCTGGTTAAAGTTACCAAAACAACGAGAAAACAGAGCCATGAGGGATAGTGTGAAGCATAAGCCAATGTCTTCAAAGAAGGTGGAGATGTGTTCTGGGAGTGACAGATGACCGCAGTGGGGATTCGGGTAGACTGCCAGCCTGGAGTTGAAACAAGGGGGCAGGGTGATGGAGGAGGATCAGCGGTCAGAGTGGCCAGTGATTAGGGCGTGCTGAGCCCTCCTGCTGTTAGCTGTGTGCAGAGGGCCTGCCGTGGGCTCTCGGTGACACCTGACACGATCTGCATGACACACAGTCTGTGTAGCATGGACGATGATCACACTTACCCAGTGTAGAAACTCTCCTGAGGTTAGTTTGTGATTTGGTGATGTGTTTTATGTTCCTATGTGTGAATGGGGAAGCAGGGTCCTGGGGTCACCTACTGAGAAGGAAGGGCCTGTATATCACCACCTTCCTTTTTAGCTACTCAGGAAAGACATTGGATTTCTGGACAGCTTTGAATGATGGCGGGAAGGAGGGAAGGGTCCATTCTGAGTGAATAGCCAGTGGGTTCTGGGGAAGCTTTTAGGAAATTGGCCAGGAGGTGTCTGG